AGTTTTATGCTTTAGCATCCTTGCATGCGTGTAGTGACTGCCATGAATAGCATGCTTACCATGAGGCTATTTGCTTATGTGATATATCTGCCTGAATGCCTGTGGGTGAAGGTTGGGTTATTCGGATTGGAATGAATCATCAACTGTTTGTTTCAAGCCCACTAGATAGTGTCAAAACCATCTTTCCTAAGCCCACCCGAGGGTGGCAAAATCTGTATTTTAAGCCTACTTGCGAGTAGCAAATCATCTTTCAAAAATAAACATGAAATGTTTTATTCCAATTCAGGCGACTCGGTCTATACTTATATGTTGTGTGCATCACATAGTAACCTAGGCTAATAACCGGAGTAAGGACACACAAAGTTTTCAAAAATAGATATCACGGTTAGTAGAGGCCGATCTTTGATCGGGCGAGCGGGGGTGCTCACGAAGTGACCTTCCCCAATCGTATCCAAGTTCCCGAGCCGAGGCAACTTTGGTGATGACGGACAAGTGGCCTTTGGCACCGAGTCAGGGTTTCCTAAATTTTCCATTAAAAAACATTTAGGTGGCGACTCTGTATCTGGCGAAGCAGTCCATGTTTGGCACTTCTTTTCAAAAATTTGTTTTTCTCAAAACGATTTGCCGGATTTGGACTCTTTGGTTCAGACTTAGAACCGTGACAAATTTGAGAGTCCTGAGCTGTAGTGACCCCAAAATGAACAGAACGGGAGCTCGTTCCTCCCGGGGCGTTCGGGGACGTCTACAACAATTTACAAGTTAAGTAAAGCCGAGATCATTGTTTACCACTTGTTGAAATTTATGGACAATTTATAAGTTGAAGATAAACCAGAGACAAGAAACTTGCCGAGGTAAATTATCGGGTGGCATAACCAATGTGTGTTACCCCGAGAAGATTGCACAAAGAAGACAGGAGTACAAGCATTCAATAAAAGAGAAAAGTTGTATTAACATTCAAAGAAAAAAGGGGGGCACATCGGCCATACAAAGAACATACATTGTTCCCTAAGATAAAGAAGCAAGAAGATACAAGTAAGAAGAAGACTTAGAGCTGAGGCTCCTCTCCGCCAGATTGTTGAATTTGAAGATCAACTACCACCTCGGCCTCCTTCTCTGCCGCTATCTCGACGTCAATTTCTTGAAGAGTTTCTTCAACCGTCTTAACCTCAGAAGGGATGTCGGCTGGTACAATCTCAGGAACAGCCTTCTACTGCGGAACCCATAATTACCTTCCTCATCCTGAGTCAAGTCTAGGACTTGCTTATTCTGAGGAGGGGACTTGGCCCCATCAGCATCTTTTGATTTTCTTATCAAAGCCTCGTCCTCTTCCTCCTCGGCCTCATCTTCAACATCAGATTCGCTGACATCTTCAGTTGGAGTTGGGACTGGAGGAAAGGGCAAAGGAATGGCGTCGGCCTTCCGCAACGGAGAGTCATCATGAATATTAAGCTTTTTAAGAAGGGACATCCAACCAAGGGTGAAACCCTTGTTGCATGCCTTTTTCACTTGTTTTTCGTAGGCCTCAGTAACGTCGGCCATACCCTGTGAGTACGTCTTTTCGTCAGCGTCTTTGATTTCAGCTTCTTTGGTGGCCAGGGCCTCCTGAAGCTCTTTTTCAGCTTGGGCCATTTTTTCCTCGGCCTCTCTCCTTTGCGATTCAGCCACCTTCCTAATGGCCTCAGCAGCCTTAGCTTTTTCTTCGGCTTCGGTCTGAGCCTTGATGGCTTCCTTAGCTTGGTCTTCCAATTTCTTCATTTTTGACTAAAGGCCTTTGTTGGTCTTTTGGAGGCTGGAGACCTCCGTTTTCATCTCGGCAAGCCGCTCCTTGTTCTCAAAAGACTGTATTGAGAAAGAGTGGGCATGCTGGATGGCTTGAAAGAAAACAGAGGTATTAAAGAATATTCAAAGTGTGAAATAAAGAGAAAGAAAAAATTTTACCAAGTAGAAGACGTTTACCTGAACAGAGTGCTGTAACATTAAGGCATAGTTCTCATACTCGCTATACTGGGCGTTCCGCTCCAGGTCACCTGGGAGAAGTAGAGCGGTACTGAACGCAACGCAGACATTGATATCGTCGGCGCTGTCACTTGCCATTATGGGCTTATCCTCTAGGGTGATTTCGGGGGCCCAGGGGGCATTTGGTTTCTTTGACCCCGAAGTCGTTGCAGATGACCTCGGCCTTTTTGATTTAGAGGATTTGGAAAGAGGTACTTCGGCAGACCTCTTCGAAGGGACAGAGGCAGTTTTTTGACTTGGAGCCAGTTTTGGGGCTGGCAAAGTGTCCTCAATCTCAACCCGAGTCACTTTCGCCTTCGGTTAAGCTTTCTTAATTCTTTTTGGTTTTTCTGGAGGTTGGGTTTGTGTTAGTTGTTCATCAATGGATGATGGAATGTTGGCTAGGAGGTCTTTAGCAACTGGCTTTGCGCGACCCATCTCGGTTGTTAGAACAAGATGTCGGCGACGCTTTCTTTGGGATGGTGGAATGAGGTATGAAGCCGAGGTCAACGGCTGTTCTGCCGGATCAAAGGTCGAACCTTGGTCTGTTCGCGATATTGATGCAGCTGGAAGAGTTGTAGCAGAGGGAGGAGATAAGCTCTTCTTCTTCTTTTTCCTGGGGACGTCGGGGAGAGCTGATTTGTATGTTGGGATGAAGTTGAGAAGCAAAGGTGCCTTTCGCTTCTGAACTGGAAGGTCCAGTAATTTCTTTAAATCCTTGCTGGGAACAAAGGATTGGCGAAAGTTTTTTGGCGGCTGAGGAAGAACTGCAAAAGTAAAGGCAAAGTAGACATTAGGAAACATATAAAATATAGAAGACTTTAAAAGTAAAACAAGTATGAATGCAGGGGTCTTACCATTACCCTCTATAAAGACTGATCGTGGGAGAGGAAAGAGGTGGAGGTCTTCATCTGGGGCAAACTCCCAATTTCCTAAGATAATGAAATAATCATCTCCAGCCCCTTTGTTGGAGTCTGGGAGGTCGGTTACAATTTTGAATTTTGTGAACCTCGGCTTAAGGTAATAAATGTAGCCTTTTTCTTTCAAGTTAAGGCCACACATGGTATAGCGATATTGGATGTCGGCAAGGGTGATCCTAGCGTTTTCCCATTTAGCTAGGGCTATAATACCAAAGATCACTCGATAGGAATTGATTGCCAGTTGCATGGGGTTCAACTTATAGTAATGGAGAACCTTATGAAACATAATGTTTAATGGAAGCTGAAGTCCACACTCTATAAAGGCGACTACGGGGAAAGGCATGGAGTCGGCAGTGGGCATGATGGAGTCATCATCCCCAGCCAACCTCAAATGGACGTCGGCTGGGATCTCAAATTCCTGTATAAAGTTTTCTAGTTTGGAGGGGGTGTTTACCCTATGTTTCCACATACCCATGATATCGGCTTAATCTTAAAAGGTGGGTCTCAGAAGATGTTTTTGGAAGGTTATTAGGACCTTGGCAAAAAGTAAGGTAGGTGCTGGTTTCAGTTTTTTCCTAAGTTATGGGTTCTACAGACAAATCCCAGACCTAAATCTATGGAAACACGGATTGAAAGCAAGAATCTGGAAAAGATGCAAAAAACAAGTGCAACGCCGACATTGATATCGTCGGCGCTGTCACTTGCCATTACGGGCTTATCCTCTAGGGTGATTTCGGGGGCCCAGGGGGCATCTGGTTTCTTTGACCCCGAAGTCGTTGCAGATGACCTCGGCCTTTTTGATTTAGAGGATTTGGAAAGAGGTACTTCGGCAGACCTCTTCGAAGGGACAGAGGCAGTTTTTTGACTTGGAGCCAGTTTTAGGGCTGGCAAAGTGTCCTCAATCTCAACCTGAGTCACTTTCGCCTTCGGTTAAGCTTTCTTAATTCTTTTTGGTTTTTCTGGAGGTTGGGTTTGTGTTAGTTGTTCATTAATGGATGATGGAATGTTGGCTAGGAGGTCTTTAGCAACTGGCTTTGCGCGACCCATCTCGGCTGTTAGAACAAGATGTCAGCGACGCTTTCTTTGGGATGGTGGAATGAGGTATGGAGCCGAGGTCAACGGCTGTTCTGCTGGATCAGAGGTCGAACCTTGGTCTGTTCGCGATATTGATGCAGCTGGAAGAGTTGTAATAGAGGGAGGAGATAAGCTCTTCTTTTTCTTTTTCCTGGGGACGTCGGGGAGAGCTGATTTGTATGTTGGGATGAAGTTGAGAAGCAAAGGTGCCTTTCGCTTCTAAACTGGCAGGTCCAGTAATTTCTTTAAATCCTTGCTGGGAACAAAGGATTGACGAAAGTTTTTTGGCGGTTGAGGAAGAACTGCAAAAGTAAAGGCAAAGTAGACATTAGGAAACAGATAAAATATAGAAGACTTTAAAAGTAAAACAAGTATGAATGCAGGGGTCTTACCATTACCCTCTATAAAGACTGATCGTGGGAGAGGGAAGAGGTGGAGGTCTTCATCTGGGGCAAACTCCCAATTCCCTAAGATAATGAAATAATCATCTCCAGCCCCTTTGTTGGAGTCTGGGAGGTCGGTTACAATTTTGAATTATGTGAACCTCGGCTTAAGGTAATAAATGTAGCCTTTTTCTTTCAAGTTAAGGCCACACATGGTATAGCAATATTGGTTGTCGGCAAGGGTGATCCTAGCGTTTTCCCGTTTAGCTAGGGCTATAATACCAAAGATCACTCGATAGGAATTGATTGCCAGTTGCATGTGGTTCAACTTATAGTAATGGAGAACCTCACGAAACATAATGTTTAATGGAAGCCGAAGTCCACACTCTATAAAGGCGGCTACGGGGAAAGGCATGGAGTCGACAGTGGGCATGATGGAGTCATCATCCCCAGCCAATCTCAAATGGACGTCGGCTGGGATCTCAAATTCTTGTATAAAGTTTTCTAGTTTGGAGGGGGTGTTTACCCTATGTTTCCACATACCCATGATATCGGCTTAATCTTAGAAGGTGGGTCTCAGAAGATGTTTTTTGAAGGTTATTAGGACCTTGGCAAAAAGTAAGGTAGGTGCTGGTTTCAGTTTTTTCCTAAGTTATGGGTTCTACAGACAAATCCCAGACCTAAATCTATGGAAACACGGATTGAAAGAAAGAATCTGGAAAAGATGCAAAAAACAGAAAACAAAAATGAAGTTTCAGAAACAAGAATTGAGATGGGCTATCAAAAACATGAAGAATATAAGAGTATATGGCCAAAAACAGTGACAAAAGTGTAAAGAAGTGGCGAAACAGATGTGTGAATTTAGGGAAGTCCGTAATATTTTAATATTGTTTTATTTTAAGTTGAATTATTTTTATGTGCCTTGTGATAAAAAATAAATAAAAATAAAAGACAATAAAATTATTGTAAAACATTATGATAGAGAGGATGCTTTTCGTGATAATGCAGGTGGGAGGGTTGTCTACTTCTGCTACAAGTGGCATGCATGAACTGCTCACTCTCAGTGTATATGTGCATCTCTATGTGCAAACAGCTGTTACGTGCAAAGAAAAAATAAACCCATAATTCATAAATATGATACAAAACTATTTATATTTATAATTAAAATATACTATCTCATATTTACACATTCTGTACTTAATTATCTCCGTGTACCTAAACTTTTTTGGTATGCATATGATGCATGTTGGTGTCACGAGTAGAGCCATTTCTGATATGCTTTTCCACTACTTTTTGTAAAAATGTGACAGCTCAATTATTTTATTTTATCTTCTTTTGTAACAATTACAAGTGCAAAAAACTAAACCTTACGAAATAAAATATCATTGCTATGAAAATGATTGTATATGTACGCGCGCGTGCGTGAGTGAGACTTTTTATTTTATGAATGTAAATATTATGTGTGATTTTAAAAATTAATTATAAAGTAGATTTTGGTGGATGATGGGATTGATCTTCAAAAATTAATTGATGTGCGTGCAAATTGAGCCGAACATCCTGAATTATCAAAAAAAAAAAAAAAAATGCAAAAAAAAAACAAAAAAAAGTAGATTTTTGTGGGATTTGGTTGAGATTCTAAACAAGCTTAAAAGTTCTTATACCAGAATATGCTTTATTTGCTGAGATTTTTAAAATCAGTGGGCCAAAAGTGCACCTCTGGAAGTTGGTTTGTCACTTAAAATTAAAAATCATTAAATTTACAAATTTACCCTCTTATTTTATTATGTATCTTGTCCCTATTAACCCTTTGTTTGTCATATTAACAAAACTATCTGTCAATCACAAAAATAGTACTGATTGTTTGATGGAACTTACTCGAGTTGTTTATAATTTATTTTTATTTTAGGAATTTATGTAAAATAATTTAGTATAATTTCTATTTATAACTTATGAACTAAAATAAAATAATATAAATAAATTTAAAAAAAATTAATTATTTAAAAACTAGAGGAGTCTACACCAAACAAAATTTGATTCATCTGTCCATTCTTGCCCCAGCAATAATCCCGACAACCTGTGTTCGAAAAGAAATTATTTTGACCACTGTTCAGAATCGTTGAGTCTAATTTTACTAAAATCAGTTTTATGAGTTGGGAAGTGTTGTTGTGAGAGTTCAGATGGGCTCATTTTGAATTCATTTCAATAATTTCAATCGTTTTTCTTGTATGCCAATCGAACATATTATTTACAAAAAGATTTAATGTATCGTTTGGTTTAGTTTTTAAATTAACATTTAGATAAAAAAAAATCAAAAATCATGTTTGATTTATCGATTTAAAATTTTATTTCATCTCTCTCCTCTCTCCTTTTTTTTATATTAATAAATTGATCAGTCGTTTTTTTTCTCTCCTCTCTTCTCTCTCCTTTTTCATTCTCTTACATTGTATACATCAATCAATCAAATTTTCTCTCACACACATCTATTTAATTATAAAATAAAAAATAAAAAAAATAAAAATTACAAATTATTCCAAAATTATATTCAAAACTCATAACCAAACAAATTTTTAATTTTCAAAACTCTTTTCAATAAATTATCTTTCAAAATAAAACTCAAAACTCAAAACTCTTTTCAATAACTTATCTTTCAAAATAAAACTCAAAACTCAAAACTCTTTTTAAAAATTAAATCAAACAGAGTCTAAGTTAATCTGATTACATTTGACCTCAAAATAAAGAACCATAAACATAATTTTGACACTAGACTAGACCGTTTAATTTTTTTTAAAACTAATTAAGACGAGATAATGCAACTATGATATTTATATTGGTTGTTGACATTAATTTTGATGCTGGACTCCTTTGGAAAGTTGGCATGGTGTGTGTGTGTTTGTAGGGGGGTTCAAGGTTAGAAGGCAAAACTATGTTAATTGTCCAATAGTGGTGGAAGTGGCTGAAGAATGAGTAGCAGCGACTATCTGAGAGTTGGAGAGTGTGTAGCTGGGTGAGGGTGAAACAAATGGCTCAAGAAGAAGACAATGGCAGTGCCAAAATGGACAGCATCTTCCCCAAATTTTCAAAATTCTTCTTGTTGAACCTTGGGAAATGGGTCTTATTTATAGACTTTTCTTTAGTACCAAGAGGACACCAAGTGGCCAAATAGAGAGAAGACATGTGTCTCTGAGGATCACATGGAATATTCTGCCTTAAACCACCAGGTTGAAAGTGCCACGTGTTCCTCTACATGTACTGTGTACTATCTGTTTGTCTCTGCAACTACCTTTTTGAGCCTCAGCAAGTGTAGTTGCGACGGGAGTGTTTGGCGCTACAACTCCCTTTTGAGCCTCAGCAAGTGCAGTTGCAGCGGGAGTATTTATCTCTGCACTTGCCTTCTTAGCTTGAACCTTAGTAAGTGCATTTGCAGCGGTAAACCTTGCCGCTGCACTTGTCTTCTTAGTTCTAGTTGGCCAGTACATGCGTTCTTAAGACTTCATTAGCCTGCTATCAACTATGTTCGTGCTCACCTCAGTGAAGCCTCCACTCTTAGTCACCTAACCACAAACTCCTCAGCTTTCCAGAGCGAAGGCCAAAACCAGGCCTGCTATCAGTCATGTTGTGCCTTAGTAACAAGCCTAAGGGGGCTTCCTTAGTCCTGCCTGTGCGACTAAGGCAGGTCTATGACCTGGGTAATGGAAATGGAGTCCCTTATGTTCGGGCTACCCTGCTCCCATCTTCGTAGAATTATCACGGTAAACTGGTATCTCTAGGCTTGCTATCAGTTTCCCAACTCCCTAGCTTTCCAGAGCGAAGGCCACAGCCAGACTTGCTATCAGCCATGTTGTGCCTTAGTGCCAAGCCCAAGGGGGCTTTCTTAGTCCTGCCTGTGCGACTAAGGCAGGTCTATGATCTGGGTAATGGAAATGGAGTCCCTTATGTTTGGACTACCTTGCTCCCATCTTCGTAGGATTACCGCGGTAAACTGGTATCTCTAGGCCTACTATCAGTTTCAACTAGTAAGTCTTGGGAGCTGTTATCAGCGCTAAGTTAAATGAACTTTGAGAGAAAAAAGGGGGCATGCTATCAGCCCTGGGCTAGTAATGCCTTAGGGCTTGCTATCAGTGCCAAGCATTAGCCTTTAATTGCAGAGGGAAACCTCTCTCAAAGGCTGCTATCACCTTGGCAGGGTATCCCCTCTGCAACTTAGTTGCTGAGGTAGTAGTTGCTTCGGTAGTCATTTTTCGTGGCAAGTTCAGACGACAGGATCGAAGATATTAGAGATGGCAGCGCCGACAAAATGCCTCCGCGACTTGAACGCTGCAAGTATTCCCTTTGCACCTTAGTTGCTTCAGTTTTCTCCTTTCCTCAGCAACTCCAGATAGTTATGGTACCGACATTACTTGAAATGGCGGTACTGAAGATACTTGGAATGGCTGCGCTGAGACAAAGTGCCTCCACAACTTGACCTCCGCAACTTGGTCGTCGCAAGTGTTGCCTCTGCAACTTAGTTGCGTTGGCTTTCTCTTTCCCTCGGCAACTTTAGATGGCGGCGGGACCGAAGATATTAGGAATGGCGGCGCTGAGACAAAGTGCCTCAGCAACTTTCTCGCTGTACATGTTCCCTCCGCAATTTCACCGCTGCAGGTGTTGCCTTTGTAATTTGATTTAGGTATTTTTTTTCGTGGAGTCCATTTAGAGCCCTAATAGGTCGGACCTGCTTCGGCCCACTGTTGGCCCACTTCCCTTGGGCTTTGGCCCATGCTCCTTTTTTATTCTCAGTCGCCTCTTTGGGGCGACCTCAGTGCTTAGGCCCATACTTAGTTTGGGGTTTAATTTCTAACTCTCTACAGTATTGTATTCAATTAATGTTTTAACCGAGGTAAGGGTATAATGATCTTCCTAATTCTCAAATAAATAAATAATAATAAATCGTTAGACTTCTTTGCTTTTGTCAAGAAATTCCCTCAGATGGAAATTCTCTCTCAAACAACATATTCTTGACTTTGTAATCCACAAACAATTTCATGGAATTCTCTCTGAAACAACATATTTTTGACTTCATAATCCACAAACAATTCGATGGAATTCTCTCTGAAATCCACAAACAATTTGCAATGTGTTCAAGCGATTAGTTGGCGTAAACATATAGTGATCAACATTAGCCCACAAGAGAGCAGAAAAGTCTACAAGTATGAATGATCACAATTCACAAGACATTCAAAGCTCATTTTGCAGAGTATTTGTTGTTGTTGGACAAATTTACAGAATCATAAGTTCACATACACAGCTATAGTTTTTTTTTCCCTCTCCCATACACAAACTCAAAACTTACATTACAATTCATACATACGCAGTCAAATCACCAACATATACATCCACTTTCTAATCTATTATGGGCTTTAATTCTTTACCATCACAGCTATTTTCTTCCTTGGTAAATATTTAGCTAGCTTTTTTTTCTTTTTCTTTTTCTTTGTTCCTTATTTCTTCTTTTCTTTTCTTTTCCTATACCGATTTTGAAGTTCTTATCATTCAAATTGGCTACATTCAAAATGCATTTTTACACAACAAACCATTATCTATATGTGCACATCTATGTTGTTTCCATATAATACTTCATTGGCTCGTAGAGTACCTCGAATTCCAGTATTTCTCAATTTCTTCAGCTGTTCTTCCAGGGATCCTCCCAGCAATTAGAGACCATCTGATGGACCCACAAATTAAATTAACTTTAATTTTATTCCTAAGATAGAAAAAGAAGAAGAAGAAACAGGAGAAGTAGAACCTCTCTCCAACAAGATTGAACATCCTGATAATAAGGGTTTCCTCATCTTCAGAGAATTGAAGCTCTGAACCTTGATGACTATTATTGTCATCTGCATTGGACACACACACACACACACACACACCAATGCCAATTAAGGGATTTGCTAAGACATACATATGCTTAAGAGAACAAAAAGAGAATAAATTTGGAACATCGGGGATCTCTGTAACCCCCCAAACTAGTTGACAAGTGCATGTTTTCCTCTTCACCTTTTCTCAACCACCAACCAAACACGCGAAGAAGAGGAAAAAGAAACTGTAATTATTAAGTGAAGACAATGACATGATCCAAGTAATTTTGAAGGGGGGTAGTTGGTGAGTATACCTCTAGAGTCCCCTGAAGTATCTTCAGTGGAGTGATCCAAGTCAGCCATGTTTCTATAGAACCAAGAGAGAAAACAAGAATGTAATTATATATATGAACAACCTCTGGAGGAGATGTTGAAATGGAGGCACTTTGGAGTCAAATAGAGAGAGAGAGAGAGAGAGAGAGAGAGAGAGAGAGAGAGAGAATGGAAGGTGGGAGATACCAACGAGAATGGTTGTTGAAAAAGGCGGCTGTGGAACGGTTGGTATCGATAAATTATTCAGTTTTTAAGGGGTATTCGGTGATTATGTCAAACATTAATTACTTATTGTTATTTTTAAAAAATTTATTTCTTCAAATATTAGCATAAAATAATGAATTACATGATATGGGATATATTTATTTTGTCAGTCCACCTAACAATGCTCATCGGCATAGAACATATTTCCCTATTTTTTGGTTCATTAAATGGAGGTACGTAAAAATGGAAATGCCCACATTCAATTTATTGAAAAAATAATATAAAATATACATTAAAAAAATTATCATTCACCCGGTAAGATTAGTCCACGTTATGCCAAGGAAAATTCTAAAAAGGAAACAAATTTTAGTCATGATATTTTAAAAAATATACATATGTAATTTTGTCAAAATAATACTAATAATAATGAGATGGAGATAGCACTAATAATTTAAAGGAATAATGAAGGGTTCTAGGAATGAGGAATAATAGTGTAGAGAGAATTTTTGGGTAGTGTTTTCAAATGCGTTTCTTTTATGAGTGGTGCTATATACATTAATTAATGTATTAATTAATATACTAATATTAATTATGACATTATTATTAATCTAATTTATTATACAAATTATTGTAGAGAGAATTTTTGGGTAGTGTTTTCAAATGCGTTTGCTATATACATTAATTAATGTATTAATTAATATACTAATATTAATTATGACATTATTATTAACCTCATTTATTATACAAATTATAAATATTAAAAACATCTTAAATTATATCGCATCGTCAATTAATACACTAAGCCTGTGTTTGGCATGTGGGTTGTGAGCTAATTTAGCCACAAACTGACAAAATTGACTAAATTAGCCACAAACGGACAAAACACAAAAAGCCTCTGTTTTGGAGCATAACTTCCGCACAAAGAGGGATGAAACTATCAATTTATCCCTGGGCTATTTGGGCTACACTAAAAGAAGACTTCAATGTCAACTTTTTCCCCAAAAAAACACGTTTTCCCATAAAACCAAAGAAAGTTGAAAAAAAATTTAAAAACATTTTTTTGTTTTTTGTTAAAATATTTTATAAAAATAAATCCAAACTCTATTTATAAAAATATTTTTAAATATTTTAATTTTTTTAAAATTATGTATTTGATTATTTTTTGAGTGTAGAGTTGCAAAAGTAGTATGGCGTTTCGAGTTATGTGTTTGGTTATGAGTTTTAAAAATAATTTATTAACTCAGTTTTATTTTATGTGTTTGGTTGCGATTTGAGTGTATAATTGTTTTTAATTTTAAAATATAATCATTTTAAATTATTAATTTTTTTTGAATATTTAAATTATTTAAATTTTTACAATTTAAATTTTTTGAATATTTATTTTAAATTTTTGCTTATTAAATTTTTAATTATTTACATTATTTAAATATTTAAAATAAAATTAAAATAAAAATGAAAATAAAAATAAAATTAAATTATTTAAAATACACATAAATAAGGCAAAAAACGTAAATTAAAGAACAATAACTAATTTTAATGTATAAAAAAATAAAAATGACAAAAACATAAATTAAAAAAAAAATTTAAACAAAATACGCCAAATCTAAACCTAAAATAAAAAAAAAAATTTAAACAAAATACGTCAAATCCAAACCTAAAATAAAAAAATTAAAAAAAAAACAAAAAAAAAAGAACAACAATTTCGGTCCTCCACGGAGGCTGACATGGACGATCAGATTTTTTGAACCATTGTTCCACGTGGATGAAGGGTAGTTTGGTAATTTAACAAGAAGCACCTCACCAAAAAATTAAAAAGTCAAAAAATCATTCCCAAACCAGACTTTTTAGCCTCAGGCTAAAATAGCCAAAAAAACCAAAAAGCTAAAAAACCAACTCACTTCCCAAACGGAGGCTAAATAGTGTACTAAGGCCTCGTTTGGGAACTCTATCTTTTAGCCAAAAAATTACTAAATTAGCGAAAAAACCAACAACTCATACCAAAAAATCAAAGATTCTCTTTTCTCTTTACTTTTTGCACATCTTTTCGTAAAAAGTCAAAAAGTCATCCCAAACATACTAATTTTTTTTAGTTCATATTTTAATTAAATAACTAAAAAATTACTAAATTAACTTGTTCCCAAAACAAACATTTTAATTAAATAACTAAAAAATTACTAAATTAACTTGTTCCCAAAACAAACGAGGCTTAATACATATAGTATTACTCTTCTCCTATAATTCAACATTATAAATAAGGTATTAATTGAATTGAACTACGTTACTTCTTCAACTTTTCTTCATTTTTTTTTTTAAATAATTATAATAAATAAAAAAATTAATTTATAAATCTTACCCAAAATAAAAAAAAAATAAGAATTACCGATCTTTTTATAATAAACAAAAAAATCAATTTATAAATCATGACCAAAATAACTTTCAATCATATTACTCTGTATCTGCTCATATTGGATTTGCATTATTTTATACAGCCCCTTTGCACTGCTATGTAGTAATATCAAAAAATACAGATGCGACTTCCATGGTAGTAATATCAGAAAGGGCAGCACAAAAAAAAAAAAAAAAAAATTACTGAAATGATTATCCTATACCAATTTTTTTTTTTTTGTTTGCATTCTAATCTTACTTTGTTTCCACAAAACTATTTTTTAAATCTTGCAAACCTTTTCCAACGTTTGTGTGTTTTACCACTTATTTCTCCAAAGTATTCCCCCATATGAACACCCTGTGGCCATGTTTGTTTGGGTAGACTGAATTAGCATTCCCATGACAAATAGTTCTAAGACTATGAATCTGTTAGATTATGTATCCTATCTTAACTAATAGTTTAAAATAATTAGTCCCTACTTCAATTGTTTAACCAAACATCGGATTAATAATTTTATTGGACTATTAGTCCAATCCCAAACTCATGTCCACCCAAACAAACATGCTCTGTGTGCGTGTGTGTGAGAGAGAGAGAGAGAGAGAGAGAGTTTTCAAGGCAAAAAAAACACAAGACCACCTTTATTATAATGATAAATATTGCATAGTAACACTCAGATTCGGGAAATTAAGAGACACCACAAACCAAACTTGATAGCAAAACCACCACCATAGAGATAATACAACAGCTAGGTTTACAATCTAACTTCAGAATTCTTAGGGAACTAGCAATGGAAACTGCAAGCTCAAAAACCATGTATTTTGATGTGTTCCTTTTTCACTATGCCAGCCTGTTTCAACCGCAAAGACGGGGAGGAGAAATCAAAAACCCCACTGAACAAGCTCAAATTACGTCCAAATACTACAGAGGTTCTAGATAATCACCTGAACAAGGAAGGTTGAGACATTCTTTCGTTGATCGCCTTGAAGTTGAATAACCTTTAGAAAAATCAACAATATTAATGTCAGAGGAGCACCGAGCCAAAAAATACCGAGACGGGTCATTTTGACATTGAGACAAACCTGGCCTAGTTCTGGGTCCTGGACTACAGTACCATTGCAGCAAAACTCCTTCTTGAGGTCCTTGAGTATCTTATTGTAGCTGAACTCTTTCTTCAACCCCTGCACCGTTGTCAAGCTTTTCCTACCGTTCCGCTGCTGTATACGGATGTGCACATATTCCTTTGACCCAGCACTGGAATCCTCAGCATTTGCCTCAGCAAACGGATCTAATCAGCCACATGAAAACAAAATTCGTCATATTGCAAACTGAGAAGACAAGAGGAAGAAAAATTCTCTCGTTTGCATCAAGTGCGTGCACATGTATGGGTTCTTTTCACATCTTCTATTTACTTTATGTTCATTTATTTGTGTGTGCATGTGTTGGAGGAGGGGCCCTTCAATTAGGGGACAGCAAGATACTTTGCTTTTAAACAATTGTACTGGAGTAAACTATTAAACAAGGTTTGAAGATGCAAATACTAGTAATGAAATAAAGTAAACATACCAAAAGTTGAAGGAATCTGGATGTCGAGTTCAGACATGAAACTTGGCTTACAAATTTGAACAGAAACCAAAAACCCAAATTTCAATCACTACACTCCAATACTCAGACCTGGATTGAAGGTAAAACCAACATTAGAACCATAACAATGAATAATATTCAAACATTGATATAAAGGAACAAAATAACAATTCAGACATTAAAGAATTATAGACCTCACTCCCCCATGTTTGACAATGACATACATCAGAAATAACATAAAAGATAAAAATGTTTTCAGAACAGTGTATAGACCGATCTCATCATATTGATCACGACACTTAAGGTCATGTTTGTTACATGAAAACGTGGTGAAATCGAATGCCCATTCCCATTCTCATGTCTGGTAGTCAAAAGGAAATGAGCCATTCCATTGGTTTCAGATCTCTACCTACCGACGGAATTCATTGCCGGCCACCACAACCCGTAATTGCCACAGCCACAACCACCACCCAAGACCCACCACCATAATTTCGTGTCACTGTCAACTGCCACAAGCAGACATGGTCAACTACCAAGTACCGTTCGGGAACCCCTCTTGAACCAAAGAAGAGGTTTCAGAGACATGGACACACGGGACATGAGACACAGACATTACAATTTTTAAAAAGAAAGGCACAACACAGCAAAGACACAAAATATACAAAAACTAATAAGTATTTCTTCAATTTAATGTTAGAAACAATTATATATTATTATATCAAAATAGTATGAATTCATCTCCACACAAAAACAAATTGGAAGTTTTAGGCTTTAGAATTCCTAAAAATTAAAAGTATACAACCATGCAAGAACAACCTCTGAGAAGGGACATCACTACAAGCGCAGCAAATTTATCATGCATCGAAAAACCCAGAATTCAAATACGAAGTACAACTTGATCTTAAAAAAAAAGAAAAAAAGGGATCTTTATTACATATCGATACCGTAAAGCAGAGAATCATGAAGGAAAAGAAAGAACCGCAAATCATGTTCATCGGTGTAAAAATTGTAATCTATTCGTGCAAGATCAAATTTTTTTTTTAGCAAAGCAAATCCCTAAAAGATCAAAATAGTTGTCGAATCCGTCAAACCAAAAACAGATCTAAGCAAGACAAGATCAGAATTGAGGAATCAAGTAGAAGAGAGAGAGAGAGAGAGAGAGAGAGAGTACCTGATCCGATGGTTAGGGTTTCGACTCGAAGATGATGATGGGAGAAGAAACCCCAAACCCAATTACGGATAAGTCTGAGCAGAGAAAGGTGCTTGTGGGGTTAGGTCGAGAGAGAGTGTGTGTGTGAGAGTGAGAGTGATACCCAAGTAGGGGTGGGTATAATATCGTCGAAACCACTAAAACCGTTAAAATCGCACTGAATCGTACCGTCAAGGTAAATTTATTATTATTTGTCAATCGAATCGTCAGTTTTTGATAAAAAAAATGACAAATTCTAGTGACACTTTTATCAATCTGTCGGTTTCTATTTTTCTTCCAAACCGCACCGACCCGCACCGCTATTAAATCATGTTTTATAAGATTTTAGAAATTCTTTTTTACTTAAGTTTGGTTGTTGTTCTATACCTTAGAATATAGTATTCGTCAAGGTAAATTTATTATTATTTGTCGATCGAATCGTCAGTTTTTGATAAAAAAATGACAAATTCTGGTGACACTTTTATCAATCTGTCGGTTTCTATTTTTCTTCCAAACAGCACCGACCCGCACCGCTATTAAATCATGTTTTATAAGATTTTAGAAATTCTTTTTTACTTAAGTTTGGTTGTTGTTCTATACCTTAGAATATAGTATTACATTACTACTCGAGGGGAATTTTATGTATTGTATAAGATCATTGTAACTTCCACAGATGCTTGTAATGAACTGATGGCATAATCATTGATATTATCATGTTGTTGCTACACTTGCTGCATTAGAAGAAAACTTCGCAAGATGCTTAACATCACGGTATCTCTCGTCTTTTTTTTACTTTTTGATTTAAGTTTTGTAATTTGAATTATATTTTTATAAACCGCCAATCCGCCCGAACCGCCAAGGCAAATCCTCCATTATTTGCCAACCGAACCGTCAGTTTTTGATAAGAAAAATAGCAAATTCTAGTGACACTTTTATCAATCCGCCACCCGCCATACGGTTTTTATTTTTCTCTCAAACCGCACCGACCCGCACCGCGCACACCCCTGACCCCAAGAAATTATAGTTTGCTCAGCGGCAATATTCATTTCATTGGCTAAAATAATGGGTGTCACTACTTTTTGCCTCAAAAAACAAATTTATGCGCTGTGGAATAAGTTAGGGATCATGAAAATTTTTTTTTAAAATGTATTATGAAATTTTTTCATCATTTAATTAGTGTATAATATTTTATTGTATATATAATTTAAAGATGGAGAATATGTCATGATCATCTCCTGTACCACAAAGAAAAATGATTTGGACCTCTAAAAAAACACCTATAATGCACCTCTAATTTGTCTTTTTCTTATCTTATTTTTGTCTTTTACTTCACTTTTTTTTTTTTTTTTTTTTTTTTTTTTATTCCCGGACAGCTCATTAGAGCGGTACGGCAAGACCTCTAATTAGAGGTCTGCAGCAGGATTGGTACCACAAAATAACTTCTCGTGATACCCCATACTGGATGCGTAACACGTGGTCGCACACTCGTCAATCGAACAAAGAAGTGGGCTCTCCTGTGTGATCTGGACTGGATAAGTGTCTGGTCCAATAATAGATACGAGGGCGGGGGGTGATGGGTGTATACGTATATATGAGAGAGAGTGTGTGAATCTATGATATTAAATAGGTGTATACGTGTATATATATATACTAGTGGGTGGCACACACGATGTGTGTGCAATTTAAATAAGTAGGAATAAAAAAAATAATAATGAAATTAATATTATAATGTGTACTTAGCTTAAGTGGTATGAGTTCTCGTACTTAAACCCATGGTCATGGGTTCAAGCCTTGCCCATCTCTTTGTTTAACTTTTTTTTAAAAAATAAAAAATACTGCCACATGGCATGAGGAGAGTAAAGTTTCATGACACCATAAATTGTGTTCACTTTATAATAGTATAGATAGATAGATTATTGAACAATATGTAGTTTTGGGATTTTTGGGGCAACATAGTTTTTGGGACCTATAAAATCGAATAGGGAGCTTTTTTTTTATTTTTTTATTTTTTTGATAAGTTCTATTTTTAAGAGTTTTATTTTATACAATTTATATATTTTTTATTATTTTATTAAGTGCTATTTAAGATAAGAAAATCAAAACACTCTCAATCTCTCTTACTCCCATTAATGTTGATATTTAATGTTGATTGTCATTGTATTTTGATAATTTCTATGACCATTCTTATTTCCCATATTTTCATTCTAAAAACACCACTATTTAATGTTAATATATATTACACACAAAAAATTTAATATAATTTTTTTATTGATTGTCATTATATTTTGATAGTTCTCATGCATTCAAATATTGACTGTATGTGATGACGTGAATGTTCACATTAGATTACGTGAATGTTAATGTACACATCAGATAATGTGTGATAAAGGTGATGATAAGATTCACATCAATATTGCATTAAATTACACAACCATAAGCTTCAACTTTCATTTAAATATAAACATAACTGTACATGATGACGTAAATGATCACATAAATGACGTGAATGTGAATGTTTTCATCAGATGACGTGAATGTGAATGTTCACATCAGATGACGTTAAAAATATATTCACATTAGATGAGAGAATGTTCACATTATTTTTAATGTGTTGTTAATTAAAAAACATATTCACACTATATAATAACATAAAATAATGACATTTGTATTATTTAATTTGTATATGAAATTTCTTATACCTTGTTCATTTCTCTTCTCTCTCCACTCTCTAACATTAAATATCAATATTAAATATAATGGCAAAAGAGTTCAAGAAAATAGTGTAAATCAAGAAAAATGGCTTTATGGAATAAAACAATAAACACATGAAACTAAGTAGGTTAAAAAATTTCTTCATGAATTTCTTGGGTTACTTCTAAATGAGATTTATCAATAAAAATCCTAAACGAATATCACCCTCTTTGGTTTTTATTTTCAGAATTTACTTTTTTTAAAAAAATTATTTATTTATTTATTGTTTATATTTTTTTTGTTTTTACTGATTTTTTTTTATATTTTAAGATTTTTTTTAAAAAATTTTTAGACGCACTTAACATAAATATACTTAAAAAGTATAATATTTGTGAAAAAAATATTAAAAAAAATCACTAAATATCAAAAATATAAAAAAATAACAAAAATTCAGTACATTTTTCATATTTTTATATATTTATTAATTTTTAAAATATTTTTTCACAAATATGTTACTATTTAGATATATTTAAGTAAAGTGCATACAAAAAAGTAAAAAAATTACTTAAAATTTTAAAAATATTCACTAAAAACAAAAATAAAACAAAAAAAATGAAAAACAAAATATTCAATTTTCAAAAAATTAAATTCAGAAAATTGAAACTAAACACACTAATATAGTACTTCAAAGTTGGTGTGGTTGTTGTAGGTCATGTAACCCTCTCTTTGTTTGAATTTTTTTTTTACAAATTTAAAAAAAAAAAAATCTTTTGGAGAAATTATTTTCTATGTTTGGTGGTGATAGTAGTGGAACAAGATGAAAGTGGATGTGATGGCATGGTGGTGGGGTGACAGCGATGGTAATGGTGGTGTAATGGTGGATGTGAGTGGTGATGTCATGACATTGGTAAGATATTAGCCCGAAAAAAATTCTCTGTCTTTTAAAAGTAAAAAATATTTTTTGGTCAAATAAATTTGTTTTCCATTGATCATGGAAAATATTTTTTATGATTTTCGTTTTCTATTATATCAAATATCAAAAAATACAAAATAAAAAATAAAAAATTAAACAATATTTTTCGCCCAAATAACCGCAAAATAATAAATTTGATTTACAAATATTATTTTAAAATAAAATTTTTGTGCATTCCTAGTAGATTACTCAATAAATAATAGATGAAAGAAAATTGATAGCTTGAAATTGATTAGTGTTATGAATCCAGTACACTAAAAATGATCTCCCAACAAAATTGTTATGACCAACCCCTACAATTAGAGAGAGAAAAAAAAAAAAAAAAAAAAAAAAAAAAAAAAAAAAAAAGAGCAAAGAATAGGATGAAACAGGAAAATGGGAATGTTAATAATCCACATCTGCCTCTTGGATTGTCCAACTTCCAATATCCCTTACAAATTTAATTTCAAATACATTATAAACTTCTAATTTTAAATGTCCATAAATATAAATTTAACAGTACATTGTGAAAATCCAAACCTCATTTTTGTAACTTCTTCTAATCACTTTATCATTTAGAAAGCCATTTTCCTGATAAACAACCCTTCCACCGATAATTTTGAAAGAATGGATTCGATAGAAACTGGCTTTTGTAAAATTTTATTTTTTTGGGATAATTTTGAGCATTAATTAAGATAAGATTCAAGTGTTATTTTTAACGTTACTAATTAGGTTTATGTTTAATATTGCATAGTGAATAACATCGTGTATTTGGTTACACAAAACTATTTTCGGATGAATAAGAATTCAACGCGCGTTTTCGGGTTTGTAGAAATGGCTTTAGGTGGGTTTCTTACACATTTATGAAATGTGATTGTCCGACATTAAAAAGGTTTAAGGATTTGTATGGGTTTATATACTCTAGCTTGAGATACTTGAAATGGGTCCCAAGGAGTACCTAAGAGCAAAAGATAGATTTATTTTGCAAGCCACTAATTTCTTGAGGAATAAAGCCTTGGACCCCCAGCGGGGGGACTGGGGGTCCCTTCCCATTGGTCTAAAAAAATAATTTTTTTTTTTTTTGAGTTTCCAGCCAACCCCAGGCCGACATGTGGCACTGGGGGTCACCCCAACTGGGGGTCTGTAGCATTACTGTTTCTTGAGCCAAAAATCAAAAATTCTTATAATATCTTTGAGAAAACTCCAAAATCAACATTCACCTTGCACAAACATGTATATATAACTCATAGAAGTCCCTACCTCAAGTTTTGGAAAAGATGAGAGAAGAAACCCCCAAAATCAATGGTGTAGAAACTCGATCTCCACCGCACAAAGTGAAGCCCTAGTTTAGCTCTCCAAAGTTTGTGAAGGATGATTAATCAAAATCCTAATGGATTGCAAAAGATCAAGTGTTTAATGTGTTTGGTGGATGTTTTTAGAGAGAATGGAGAGGAAATGTTA